TGCGTATTTACATTATCTACATATCACCATTTTGTATTAAGGAGGCCCCCCCCCCCCCCCAACCCTAATATAATATACAGTAGTGCACCATCTCATCTAATTAATTGCGTTAGCATTCTACCATGGCGTCCCATGAGGAAGTCGAATAAATATAATTAATTTGTGACATACATAAAAGTAACTTGTAAAACGGACTTTGTAGTCTTTTTTCAAAATAAAAGCTCTCGATTATGATTACAACGACTTAAAATTATATATATTAATAATGTAATAAACTGATTGATTAAGAAACAAATATTAAGCATTATTAATTCAAACGGAAAAGGGCTAAAGATACTGTTCTACGATTAAAATTTGTTTAAAGTTCCTTCCATTTCACTATTCGATAAAAAACACTCCTAAGTCCTACCTTATAATTATCGAATATACTAGTGAATCTGTCCACGTTTCGCGTGGTAATAAAAGATATTATTAAATTTGCAAATATTTTTTTATAGTACCTAATTATTAAAATTAAAATTTATATATTATTGCATTGGAACTCCTAATCCATATTGTAACACTTAGTTGTAAATATATCTTTAGTTTTCTACTTTTGTGATCCCTTAATATAGAAGAATTAACACATATAGTCACTCACCCAACCACTTAAACTAAAAATAGCCGATTGACGTATAATATATGCATAATTTATGTCTTATATGTGTATAATTATATATAATTAATGTATAATCTATGTATTTAGCTAGAAAAAGTAAACGATGAATATCGCCGGCTATTTGTGTAAAGATCCCATTAATATATAGGTACACTAATCTTTTTTTATTTTTATTAAAATAATGTAAAGCCAAAATATAATTTCAAGAAAAATGACTGCTTTGAACTACATCTTTTGGAAATTTTTTGTCTTTATTTTTCCTTTCATTTTCCCTTTTCTTAAAAAAACTTTTTCGTTTTGTTTTCTTTCTTTTCTTACTTCCATTTTTTCGGCTCTAACTTTCTGTCACCTTTCCAAGCTATTCACTTTATTTTCTGAAATAATTAACTATTCTATTGTATCGTATTTGTTTGATTATTACTTAAATTTTATTGTATCGTATCGTTAAATCCGTCGTTACATAACGACGAAATGTGCCACTTTATATAACGACCGGTTTGGTGTGGTCGCGTTGTTACCTTATCTTTTTATCTCAATCTCACCCTTCATTATTATTAAATAATTTTATTTTATCATTTACCCTACTTTTTTATATAGTAATTTTACCCAGTGTCATAATTTTTCTTTATAATATTGCAAGTTTATTCTTCATATTGGTGGTGTGTGATCATGAAACGATGACAAACGACACAATCTATCCAAACATTGTATTTATCAAACGATACAGTATAATACAATACAGTACGATACGATACGTTATGAAACAATACGTAACAATCATCCAAGCAAACTGNTAAAAAAACTTTTTCTTTTTGTTTTCCTTCTTTTCTTACTTCCATTTTTTCGGCTCTAACTTTCTGTCACCTTTCCAAGCTATTTACTTTTTCACTCTGAAATAATGCCTTCATAGCATCAAAATCGTTAAATTATAGCAGTAAAATTGCATAATTTCCAAATATTATCTGCTCATTTCGTTTCATTTGAAGTTTATCCGACAAATTCAACATAAGAGAATTCTTATGAACCTAGACTAAAATTTCAACTGTCATTCTCTATGCGAAACTAAACTACTTAACAAAATTACAAAAGAAGGCAGAGTAGGCAAAAACTCTAGTGATTTTCACAAATTCCAGATAAGATACTGATATTATTTGGAGTTCCTACAGGGTTAAACATGATAGATGTTTGTCCATGGATATTGTGTGGTGCTTATATTCATCACTCTATCTCTATGAATACCCTATCATAAAGTTCAAATAAAAATAAAAAGAATTACGTAATATATTAGTAAGGACGAAGATACTCTCGGTCGAATAAGTGAACAGTCTTGTATTATTGTTACCGCCTTGCTTATATCTGTTAGCATCATAGCACATTGCTCTCCTCTTCATTCTTATTTCTATTTTCACATCAGAAGAAAATAACTAGTGGAACTAAATGTTCAAACTATTTACCCTAAAAATCATAATCGTCTCCAATCACCATCTTAATCATCAGAATGATTGGAGTTTGTCTTTCACCGGGCATAATTCATAAACCATCATATCACGAACCAAAAATAACTTCTAGTATTTATTTTAATATTTAGCAGCCACGATAATTATCACCAGGTCACCAAATGAACGAGTCAGTATTGATTTTTTTAAATCATTGACTACCCAAATAGATTTATACTCCAGCTCTTCTGCCAAGCGCCGACGCATTATTTTTCATACTGAGAAAAGTTCCACCTTCAAATCACGTAAAAGGTTTTTCCACTAAGGAAAAAAAAACCAAGAAACAAAATCAAGAACTATGAATAAATTTCTCATGGACAAAATATTCAGGCACAAAGATTTCCAAGTTTCGTAGCAAGAGAAAAGAAAGTGTCGAAAACGGGAATCAAAATGACTAAGATTCCTCCTTTGATGAAACTCTCTGAGCTTCAGAGAGAAGGTTCCAGAAGAGAGAGGAATTGGGAAAATGAATCTGTGTCTTTTCCATTTCTGTAAATGTGTGTATATACACGTGCGTAAAGAATAAAGAGAAAAATCTGAAATGCCTAAATACAAAATTGTCATTATTACTAACTCCACTATACTATTAGTACTACACAGCTAATACACACATAAATATAATCATTCTCAATACCTCCCCCTCCTCCCCCCCCCCCCC